GCTGGCCCTGCCGGCATCTCCTTCTCTCCAGCGCCTCCAACCACGAGCCCTGCTCTGCCGACCCCAACTCTCCATTTCCTGACCACGCTCCTGGGCATCAGACACCGTCTCCAAGGGCCCCCTGGACGTGACATCTCCCAGGTCCTTCTGCCTCCACAGAGTCAACACCGAGTTCCCCACCTGCCCCTCAGCCAAGCTGCTTCCCCCTATGCATGGCAGCATCACCCCTCCGTGCGTGGGTCAGGCTGTGTGACTTCTCCTTCTCCACCCCAACCCACCCAGTCAGCTGAAATTCATCCAGTGCTGCCTCTGAGCTGGCTCTGAGCCTCTGCTCTGCTTTCCACCTGCTCCCACTGCCCCCGCACTGACCTTTTGTCCCTGTCACCTGGACTATGTCCCCAGACTCTTCACAGGTCTTCCTGCTTTCACTCTCCCCAACCCCATTCATCTTACATCCACTGTCAGATTAATCTGCCAACCACTCAGGTATAACCTCAGAAGGCTCCGTGGCTCTCCACTGCCCACAGAATAAAACTTGGGCTCAGTAACCTGACATCCAATGCCCTCACCACCTAAAGGCTGGTCCTGACCCAGTATTCCAAACATGGTTCCCTCTACACACCCCCCAAGATGCGTGCACACACACACACACACACACACACACACACACTGGTCCAGTCACCCATCCTCAGCTATGTTCATTGGATATAACTTTTCCCTTTTTTTTTTGGTGAGGAAGATTTGCTCTGAGCTAACATCCATTGCCAATCTTCCGCTTTTCTTTTTTCCATGAGGAAGATTAGCCCTGAGCTAACATCTGTGCTAATCTTCCTCCACTTTATATGTGGGATGCCTCCACTGCATGGCTGATGAGTAGAGTATGTCCACACCCAGGTCCGAACCCGGGAACCCCCAGCCGCTGAAGCAGAGCATGCTGAACTTAACCACTACGCCCCGGGCCAGCCCCCAGAATGTAACTTTTTTAAGGCAGAAGAAGGAGGAATTAGATGGGTACAGACCAAGAAACTGCATTTCTTGGAGTGAGCTATTTAACGTTTCTGAGCTTGTTCATCTATAAAATAGGAAAAAGAATAATTAGCTGCTATAATAATATCATTTGAGTCTCAATATCTCCGTTAAGATTCTAGAATGGAATATAAAGCGATGATCTGTGAGCACCTAAGGGGAAGAAGTGTGTAAACCCAGGAGAGCGAGGGGTTTGCTAAGAAAAGGCCACATCGGCCGGCTGTATTCTTGTCTACAGGATGGCTGGTCCAGCAGGCAGAGAAGTCAGGCTGAGAGGAGGCATCCAGATTCCTGGAAGGTGGGTGATGAGGTCTCTTGGGACATACCTGCCGAATAGATGGGGAAATGTTGAATGGACAAAGAGCCAAGCGAACAATAGGGCAGCCTGTGTCCTCACAAGGGGTCTCTAGTGGAGTGCCCCAGGGCTCACTCCTGTGCAGCTGTGGCCTCAGCCCCTTGTGCATGAAGGTAGAGATAGCTTTGCTGGTCCCTCAGGGCTGGGGGATGAGAGCTATGCTGGCTCCAGAGCCAGGGCAAAGAGAGACAAGTTCAGTCATGTCAGGACACGTGGACCAGGGAACCCATGGGGGCTCTTATATTTGGAAAAGACTAAACGGAGATAGTCCCAGGCTCCCAGTGTGAAGGAGTGGTGGGCAGGGGGAGGATGATAATAACACCAGTGGCCACTAAAGGGACTTTGCCTCTGGGCGTTAAGCCCCTTACACACAGCTCTATTATACTGGAGGAAACTGGGGCCCTGACAGGTCAAAGGACCTGTGCACAGTCACCTGGTCAACGGGTGGCAGGGCCAGGACACCAGCCCAGGACACACTGCGTTAGCACCCACTGCTCCCTGCTGCCTCCCATTGGGGCAGCAGCCTCAATTGCCTGTAACCTGGGGGTTTTCATGCTTTTTACTGCACGAAACAAATAGCAGAGGAGACGGAAGGCAAGAGGAGCCACCCCCTCAACCCTGGGGCAGCCACTGACGCCTCTCCAAGAACCCTCAGGGCCTGGGGAGCAGCGTCTGAACGCTGTGCAACGAGGGTGAAGGGAACCATCCAGCCCCATCTGACTGCTCAGCACAGCAGCTCCCTGCCTCTGCCCCTGGAGACCCTCCTGGCTGGAGCTGCCCAGGAGAGCCGCCAGCACCGGGAGGGGACCTGCTGGCCAGCCCAGGAGGAATAGGTGGAGCAGCTGAGATTGGTTGCACCTGATGATCAGCAAGTAGGGTGAGGGGTGGGGTGCTGTGAATAGCTCCCAGTTGTTGACTGCAAACCTCTGCAGGGCTGAACTGGGGTGGGTGAGGGGCGGGGGGAGTGGGGCAGCATGAGAAGGCTGATTTTGAAGAAGGACCATCTCAGAGTTCCCCAAGGATGGTAATGAGCTCCCCATCCCTGAAGGTGGCCAAATTAAAGCTGGGTAACTGGCGGGGAGATATAGAGGGAATCCAGGTGTTAGAGGATGGACCGAGCCTTCGAGGGTCCCTCTCCCCTTGAAATTTGCGATGCTTTTGCATCAGCTGTGCTGCCATCTGGACTATGCTTCCTTCTCATTCCACCTCAAGGCCCAAATCAAACCCTGCTTCTCGCGGGGAGTCTCCCCAAAGCTGCCAGTCAGGCTGCATCTCGTTTCTCCTGGCTCGTTCATTGTAAACTAGGTGGTCTATTAAATGCAAGAGAATCGAATCCAATGGAATTGCATGAAATCGACTAGAGCCAGGACAACATGCTTTGAGAGCACCCACATGCGCCAGGCACCGGTCCCCAAGGGCACAGGTGTTGACTTGTTTAATCCTCTCGACTGCCATTGGCATAGGTATGTTGGCCTCACGTTCCGGATCGGGGCACGAGGCACCGGGAGTGAAGTGACCCGGCCCAGAGTCATGCAGCTGTGGCCAGGGGCAGAGCCGAGATTTGAACCCACTAGCGGGGCTGGCTCTGGAGCCATGCTCTGAATCACTGCTCGGGGCTGCTGGAACGATGAAATGAGAACACAGAGCAGAGCCAGCACACAGTAGGCACTCAGCACGGCTGGCCTGTTGTACCGCGGCCGCGTGTCTCTCTGTCTCTGTCCCTGTGTCTCCCCATCCCTGTCCCTGCCCTTCCCAGCTCTGTTGCTCTCCATCTCTCAGTCTCTCGGGCTTTGTCTTCCTCCATCTCTCCCTGCCGTGTCTCTGTCCTCACGTCTGCCTTCCCCTCCTCTGCCCAATCTCTCGCTCTGTGTCCCTGTGCTTGTCTGTCATTCTGTCCTTCCCTCTGTGAATTGCTGCCCTTCCCACCAGCCCCGCCGCATGGCCCCCACTGCCTTGTGTCTCCCCTCTCCCTGTCTCCCCGGCGCCTCGCACCACCAGCACGTCCTTTGTCTTTATGGCCGGCCCGGGTCTCTCTCCCTCTCTCCTTCCATTTATGAGCCTGTACGCTAGTGGACAGGGCAGCGGGCTGGAGGCCACTCACTAGTGACCTGTCTCTACGATCACCTCATTATTTATCACCAGGGACACCAGTGTTTCCATAAATTACCCCGACCCGGGGCCGCCTGCGCCGGAATCAATAGTCGCCTCTCGCCTGATACCCAATTATTAATAACCATGGGGGAAGGGTGGCCAGACGTGGCCAGACGTGGCACTCTGGGCCCTCGCCTGGCAGGGGAGGGGAGGGCTGGAAGGAGGTGGCACTGTACCGAGAAATGCCTGCGCAGGGCAAGAGGTGGGGCCTGGAGGAGGAACCAGGGTGCCCACATTCTCTCCAGGCAGAGACACGCTTCCACCCTGAGGTCAGAGGGGACACGCAGAGCCCCATCTCCAGGCGCCTCCAGTCTGAGGACGGAGACACGCCATGGAATCTGCTGCTTTGGGACCCACTGGGGACCCTGGAGATGAGGTGCAGCTTCCCCAGGGAGGGGAGCTGTGGCAGGACGGCGTCTGCCCGGCTGCAGGCAGACCGGAGGCTGCCAGAGGCAGGGTGCTGGGGAGGGCATCTGGTTCCATCAGGGCAACGGGGTCAGGAGGTGACTGGCGCCCTGCACGTCCATCTGAGTCAACATCTGAGCCCCAGGAGCTGGCGTTTGGAGGAGGAGGCACCAGAGAGAAAGCTGTCAGGGCAGGGCAGGGGGGTGGGGGCACAGGGCACTTAGAGGGGAGCCCAACTGGTGGAGCCTGAGGCTGGGGTTGAGGGGTTGGAATCAGAGCAGCTGTCCATGCAGGCGTTGGGGTAGGGGGGGCCAGGAGGGGGAGGCCGAGCCCCAGAAGTCCCCCACCTTGGGGTAACCAGGCACCCAGACACACACCTCCCTCAACCACTGGCTCTCTCTTTGTTGCACCCAGAGGCCCAGTTGGAAGCACACACACACAGACACACACACACACACCCCTCTCAGATCAACACAGCTACAAAGCAAAGACAGACACACTAAGAAACAGAAGTGCAAGGAGGCAGAAAGAGACCATACATAGCCAGAAACACACCTTCTTAGGCACAAAGACACACACACACACACACACAGACGTACAGAGCCAGAGATCCATCAGTAAACACAGATGCATGGGAGCACACAAACACACCCACACACAGAAATCCTAACATGTTTGTTTGTACCTATGCATGCAGATCCCCCCAGACATTCCCCCCACATGCTGACACACATGCACACTCGCAGCCCGTCCTGCACACGCACCCTTTGGGCACACAGTGTGCGCATGCAGCGACGCCACCTCTAAGGGCATCTTGCGGGAGCCAGGCTGACGCTTCGGCTCCTCTGAAGCCCAGTTGGTGCCAACACTGCCACCATGTGGCTGCAGGGACACGGCGCGCAGGCCGCAAGCCTGGAAGGCCCGGCCAGTGGGGACGAGACCAGGGAGGGACGGCACGGAGGTCTTGCCCCAAAAAGCTGGGCCTTATCATCTAGATGAGCCCGGCTGCCATTTTGGCCATTTCCCAGTGAACCAGACGCGATCATGGAGCACTGGGGTCAGATCGTGTGGCAGCTGGAGCCAGCTACAGTGGGCCAGCACTGTCCACTTAGCAGGGCCTGGTCTGCCTCTGTTGGCTTGTGCCTCTGCAGCATGGAGCTAGTGCCAAGTGGTAGGCAGACAGCCCCCAGGCTAGAGTAGACTGGGTGACCAGTTGCTCCAACTCTTCTGGAGGGACTGAGGTTTGATTCCAACCGTCAACTTCATTATTATTCATTCACCAAAATTTATTGAAATTCTATTCCATGTTCAGGTACCATGCTGGGGTGATACAATGGTGAGCATAGTATCAATCGTGAGCATTTCCTAAACATCAGGGGACCCAACACTGAAGAGACAATACAATAAATATTTATTAGGTTGAACCACAGGGAATGGCCATTAGTGTAGGTCCAAAATGGTCAACTATTGGCAACTTCCTTTGATCTACCCTAATGATGATAGGTATATAAATGTTACAAAATAAGACAGAGGGGCTTAACCTGGGGAGGAGGAATGTCATGGAAGGCTTTCTTCAGAAGGTGAATCTAAGCTCAACTTGAAAGAATGAGGGGAGATTAACTAAAGGCAGTAGAAGAGCTGTGCAAAGGCCCTGAGGCAGGAGGGAACTTGTATATTGTGCAAACCAAGAGCCTAGAGCTGAGAACTAAGAAGTGAGGGGTGTAAGTGAAGCTGGAGGGGTTTGGCGAACCAGGCTTTCCATGCAGGACCCCAAGCATGCAATATTTAGGACTTTGGACTTTTTCCCAAGGGCCCTGGGGAGACACAACTGAAGAAGGTCATAAGCTGAGGAATGTCACAATTAGCTTGGTCCTTTGAAAAGCTCACTCTGGCTGCAGAGTGCAGAAGGACTTGGCAGTGGGGCAAGGAATGGCGGTGAGAGATGGCGGTGGGAGAGGTGGGCAGAGTGGAGATTCTGGTCCAGTCACTCTCTGAGTCCAAGTTTTGTCCTCTGTAAGGCGGGGCTGTATTTCCACCTTGCAAGAAGGATGAAATAAGAAAACGAATACAAAGCACTTGGAAGGTGCGTGGCACATAAATGGCAGCCGTGACTCCTCTTCTTGTTATTAGAGAACCAAGGGACCGCCCGTTGCAGGTTCCAGTGGTCTGTACCACTTGGGGCCAAGCTCACTGATGGAGCCCAGAGCCCACTGAGGCACAGAAGGTCTTGCTTTGGTTCTCAGAGGCCCTGGAGCACTCAGGTTCCCCCCCACCCCCAGCTTATACTCTAGATCTCCCCAGGGGTGGGCTCCCTCGGGAGAGTGGTGCCTGCGAGGACCACATCCAGGCCTTCCATCCTCCTAGATGCTGCCCGGAGCCAGGGCAGACACTCAGCCACACCGGCTTGCCAAGGAGGCGTCATGATCTCCCTTGTTCAGATGGGGAAACTGAGGCTCCAGGAGGTTAAGTCACACACTGAGTAGCTGTGCTGGGATTTGAAACGACAGCTGACCCTCAAAACCATGCTTGTTATTTTTTTTTAATCTCATTGCAGAAAGTCGACTTAATCACATGTCAGTTCCAGGCAGAGTCTTCAGGGGAGGTCTGTCTCCTGACTACTAAGAAACGGATATGCATCGACTGAGCCCTGTTGTGCACCAGGCTCGGTGACAGGACCCCATGCCGGAGGACCCACAGGCAGTTCAGCGACAGTTCTGGAGCACGTGGGCTGGTGGCAGCTAACTCCTGGGCAGAGGGCTTCCGCTCTCCCTCCCACGCTGATCAGAGGAATTTATCTTCAGGAAAATCGGGACGAGGATCTATAAATGTGTTTGGATCAAAATGATAATCAAAAATTCATGGCCTTCAGCGAGGAATAAGTGTGTTATCATATATCAGTTTAATGGAATACTATGCAGCCATTAAAATCGATGGTGTGGCTATTAATTCATTGATGCGGAAAGATGGCCAAGCTTTGTTGTTCAGATTTTTAAAAAGTAGGCTATAAAATAGCGTTCATAAAGATTCCCGTTTTGAAAATCATAGATAAATGCTTATATCATATTTCCTTGATTCTAAGATGTAGACATTTTTCACACTTGAACATTTCTGAAATCCGGATGTGCATTGCAATTAATATATGTTTAAATGCAGTAATTCTTTTCTCCCTAAAAACTGTGTAATTAAATCAATGATGCCTCCTGCAATCAGTGTTGTCTTTGAATCAAGAAAAAAGAAACACACACACACACACATATACACATCTGAAAAATTCCAGAAAGATGTAAACTAAAATCTTAAAAGTCATTAATTCTGGGTGATTTTCAGTTTCTTTTGAAACCTTTCTGTATTGTCTGAATTGTGTAAACTGAGCACAACTTATTTTTGTAATCAGGAAAAAAACTCACGTTTCTATATTAGAAGACAAAAAGGAGCAGCTCAAAAAAGCAAAGGCTTCTCATACACCACAGATCAGAATAAGTGGTACCCAGGGCCCTCAGCCCAAGTTGTAGGAAGTCCAAGGAAGGCGGGGGTAACAGGGATGCTCCACGGCCAGGTGGTGCTGGAGCTGGGCCTCCTAAGACAGGGAGGGTTTGGGCAGATGGAGAACAGGGTTGGGCAGGGCAGGCAGAGGAGATAGCCTCAGAGGAGGCCTGGGGATCCACAGCTGCCCCCAGGGCTGGAGGGAGGTGGTGTGATCGACGCCACTCAGATGACAGAGGTGGTGATAGTGGTAGTAGTTAGAATAACTCAGCAACCATTTATTGAGTGCTTAGTCTGTGTGAGGTACTGTTCTAAGTGTTTCTTTCTTCCTTTTTTTTTTTTTGGTGAGGAAGATTGGCCCTGAGCTAACAGCTGTGCCAACCGTTCTCTATTTTGTATGTGGGACACCACCACAGCATGGCTTGATGAGCAGTGTGTAGGTCTTTGCCCAGGATCCAAACCTGCAAGCCCTGGGCCACAGAAGCGGAATGCATGAACTCAACTACTACGCCACTGGGCCGACCCCCTGAATATTTCTTATGTATTTACTTCTTGTTATGGGCTGAACTGTATTCCACCCAGGTTTGTATGTTGAAGTCCTCGTCCTCTGTATCTCAGAGTGTGACCGTATTTGCAGATCGGGTCTTTAAGGAGGTAATGAAGTTAAAATTCGGTCTCTAGGGTGGGCCCTAATCCAGTATGGCCGGTGTCCTTAGGAGAAGAGGAGATCAGGACACAGAGGTGCAGAGGGACAGCCACATGAAGACATACAGAGAGAAGATGGCCACCTATGGCCAAGGAGAGACGTCTCAGAAGGAACCCACTCTCCCGACACCTTGATCTCAGCCTTTCCAGCCTCCGGAATTAAGAGAGAATAAATTTCTGTTGTTTAAGTCACCCCATCTGTGGTGTTTTGTTATGGCGGTCCTCGCAAACCAAGACACTCATCTACCCTATAACAACCCTACGGGGGTAGGGGCTCCAGTTAAAACTTAGTACCTAAAATAACGGTTATTTATTTTGCTTTAGGGCGTGGCAGGGTCAGCTCAGCGCCACCCATCACTGGCCCGGGCAGACGGCTCTCAGGACGGCTTACACACGTGCCTGGCCAGGTGGTGCCAACTGCCAACCAGAAGACCTACCACAGCCTCTCCACATGGCTGCTTGGCTTCCTCACAGCATGGTGGCTGGATTCCGAGAGTGAGCACCCCAAGAGAACAAGATGGAAACACAAGGCATCTTGATGAACGTAGCCCCAGGAGTCCTGTAGCGTCACTTTTGCCGTATCTATCAAGGCAGTGACAAAGTGCCACCCAAGTTCAAGGGGAGGGAACATCATCCCCACCATCCCCAGGGAAGAGTCAATGGCTCTTATAAGAAGAGCTTGTGGGATGGGATGTATATTGTGGCTGACATCTTTGGAAAACGCAGTCTGCCATAGTAGGTACTAATATGATCCCCATTCTACAGCTGGGAAAATACAAAGAAAGAATTTAAGTGACAGGCTAAGATCCAGCTTGTGAGCGGTGGCCTTGGGTAGGTTGGTGCTGGATCATGAAAGGCCTTGAATGCCAAGTTGAAGCTTTAGGTTTCAAGTGGGTAGGCAGTGAGGAGCTGCTATGGTTTTTGAAGCAGAGGGTGACATGGTTAGATCTGTGTTTAAAGAAAATCACCCTGGCTGCAGAATAGAAAGAAGGAAGGAGGAGAGCCTGAAGGAGGTGAGGAGGCTGAGGCCACAGGCTTGTGGAGAGTGGACGGCCCAGCCCAGGGCAGTGCTTGGTGGATGGAGGGAAGGGCCCAGCTGCTGCTCCTCGGGACACGGGCCTCTGAGAGGTGAATGGCGCCCATCCCACCCCTCCTCGGACCAGCGGGTCCCACGCCTCCTGGGACCAGCGGGGCTCCGTACTCCCTGGGTTCCTCCAAGATCCACTGCCTCACAAGATACGTTGCCGGAGCTCTGCCAGCCCCTCCACCTCCAGGGCATCTGGCTGGGGCCCTGCCAGCCCCTCTCACTGGCTCTCACCACCTGCTGGGTTTTTTTGGGGGGTGGGGGGGTGGGGGGCGGGGTTTGAGGAAGATTAGCCCTGAGCTAACTGCTGCCAATCCTCCTCTTTTTGCTGATGAAGACTAGCCCTGAGCTAACATCCGTGCCCATCTTCCTCTACTTTATACGTGGGACGCCTGCCACAGGATGGCTTGCCGACCGGTGCCATGTCTGCATCCCAACCGGCCAACCCCGGGGGCCGCCAAAGCCGAAAGTGCGCACTTAACCGCTGTGCCACCAGGCGGCCCCCACCTGCTAGTTTGACCTGACTGAGCACAGTGGGTCCTCAGTGTTTGCTCAATGAACAAATGAATGAGTGAATGAATGAATGAATGGGAGATAAGCTACAAAAGGAAACATGTTGATAAACTGAGGGAGAAAAAAGGAAAATATATCTTAAACATAAAACTGCACAGAATTGCAGATCTGGGGTTTCTAACTGGAAACTCTAGCGGGACTAGGGGGCCAGGAGTTTGAGAGGCCTCCAGAAGTGGGCGGAATAGGAAAAAAAAAACCCAAAAAGCCAAACCTGAGCAGAGACGCGGCTGAATTCTGATTGGATGCAGTGGGTGTCAATCACAGTTGCTCCATTCCCCGAGCTGACCAGCTCGGAGTTAAGACATCAGAAGCCTCCGGGGTTCGAATCCCTCCCTCCTCCATGACTGAATCCCGCGAGATCTCGAGCACGTTAGTTCATCTGCAGACTCAGTTTTCTCAGCTGCAAAGTGGACTCGGCGGAAGGAGCGCCAGCACCGGGTCCAGCTGGCAGCGGGGCTCGGTAAGTGAATGCCCCTCACGTGGAGTTTGGGCCTGGGACCCGCGCCCGCCGAGCCCCTGGCGGGATGTGTGTTTGGAGTAATGATCTGCTCACGTTTCCTCCTCCCCCGACCCCCAGCTCCTTAAGGGCAGGGACTGTGTCCCAGAGCCCAGCCAGGGTCTGGATGTAGGAGGGCTGGGGAAAGGCCGGGGATTTAGCTGCTGCGCACTGTTAAGGTTCCCCGTGGGGCCGTCCACAAAGCGAGGGCGGGGAGTGCATGGGGCAGAAGGGCAGCCACCATCTTATGCGGCCTGCCTCGTCTGCAGACCCTTCTGGATGCCAGCCAGGAGTCCCGGGGCACGGGGACCACGCTGCAGACCCAGCCAGGCCAACGGGGACGGGTCAGGGGTGAATGAGGGACGCCCGGCAGCCAGGACCCGGAGAGGAGGCAGGGAGGGGACGTCTGAGTTGACAGAACGCTTACAGTGTGCCAGGAGCCAGGCTAAGGCCTTCCAAGGAGGATGTCATCTCCTGGGCCCTGTGTTACGGATGGGGAAACGGAGACTCCAAAACCTCACAGCCCTCAGTGCTTTGAAACCAGGCCTGTCTGATTCCACAGGTGTGCTCTTTATCCTCCATACTCTGCCTCTGGAGAGACCTGGAAGAGGGAAACGCTGCCATGTTGGCGAGGTGGTCTCCAGCAGCGGCATCGTGGGGTGGGGGAAAGGCGGGGCCCTCACCACATTCCTGCACCGTGGGGCCTCTGCTTGGGCTCCTCCTGAGTGGATCCCCATAACCTTCCCCTGAACCTCCAGGACTCTTCCTCCTGATTCCCCTCTCAGACCAGTGTGGACTGAAGGGGAAGCAAAGAAAAAGGAGATTTCTCTCCCGTGTGTGGGAGAGGCTGGGGCAGCCAGCAGTGGCTGTGGGAAGCGGGTACCCTGAAGGATGGGGCCAGTGGGGAGACCCTTGCAGAGCAAACACAAGTGAGAAGGGACCACAGGACAGGCTGCTGCCTCCTAGATACCCCACCTTCTCCCTGGGGCCAGATTCACCTTTGGATTCCAGGGCCCACACTTCTGTGGCCCGGCACTGCCCGGAATGAAGTTCCCATATTCCCAAGAGTTCCCTGGGCCCTGGGCTGGATTGCGCTTCAAGCTGAATTCATCCCCATCTTTAGCCTCGTGTGATCTTCACCTACCTGGCATCCCGGCTGGTCACACCATAGTCCCTCAACCATCCTGCCCAGAGCAGGAAGTTCATCCAGTGCCAGCACTGGACACCAGAATTGGCCGCAGTGCCTTAAGGCCATCAGCAGCCCTGCAGGCCCCTAGCCTTGCCCACACCCTCTCCAGCTGGCTCAGCTCAAGGCCAGGCTCTTACAGCCCTTTGGACACTGGTTCGATCAGCTCCCCGTCCAGCGGACTGGCCGACAGCCAGGCCAGGTCCTGAAAGATGCCCCCTTTTTCAAAGCCCCCGAGCCCCGCCTTCTTCCAAGCCTGCCTCCCCCCATTTCTGTTGGATTTGACATTCGCCCTGCGGCCCAGACTCCCAGGACCCCCCGCAGCCCTGCCTGGGGACCCTGCCCGGGTTCCAGCTGGCTGGCGAGCCCAGCCAAGCATCACAGCTCCCGCGACATCCCTGAGTGACAGGAAACAACTCGCTCCTTCCAAGAGGCGAAGCTCTGACAAACACTCACTAGGAAATAATAAAGTGGCAAAATAATTCTGCATCGGACACACTTACCAGAGCAGAAAGCGTCTGTGGAGGAGACAACATCTTGTACCATCTATCTTCCTTAAATCCCCACGCTGTGACAAAGTGGAGGGCAAAATCATGATGAATGATCGGACACATTTAGCCAGTACCTGGGCTCTGTAACGAGCGCGGCCCAGGGAAGGTGTCTAATGAAGATCTGTGCCCCCCGCCCCAAACCGGGCCTCGTCGGAAACAAGTCTTTATTACGAAATTGGTGCCTGGTTTTCATACCGCGAAGGCTGGAGGCGCGAGGTGTGACATGAATTAACGCCGGCACCTGCAGGGTCAGCCCAGCCCTTGCTGGCGCTACGGAGACAAACGGGTTCGGCTCCCGCCACCATCCTGCGTCTGGTTGACAAGGCGCCAGTCGCCTTCCGATTGTGCCGGAACACGGCTCGGTTTGTTCCTACCCGGCCTGCCATCATTTATTCTGCTGCCTCATTTGAATATGATGAATACTGTAGTCCTTTATTTGTTCACAACAACCAAATAATTGTAGATCCGTGGGCTTCGGGGCAATTAATCACATTTTTCCCTCCACCAATCCACTATAAACATGACATTGAACAATAAAGTACATTAACCTCTGCTTTGCACAAAACTTTGCTTATTTAAACACTGCAAGGTTATTTTTTTTCCTTCTTGCCAGGCCCCTGCCACAAGGGATGGGGGTGAGGAGAGAAGGCCCACCCCATACCAGCCAAGCCAGTCCGGCCCATTTTGGCCCCCAGCTCAGCCATGTTTGGGGCATGGAGCGAGCAGGTGCGGCTGCAGGTGTCAGAGTGGGCCTTTCCAGGGCAGGGCCTACAGCCGTGAGCATGTGTGTGTATGCATGTCTGCACGCATAGGTGCGCCTGCGTATGACTATGGGTGTGCTTGTGTGAATGTGTCTGTATTACATGTGTGTTCATATGCACGTATGTTTATCTGAGTCTGCTCTCAGAATAGAGGTTCTGAGGATAAGGTTTAAGTGTGTGTGTGTTTATGTTTTTGTATAGATATGTGTTGTGTGTATATGTGTGTGCATATATGTGTGTATTTATGTTTATGCATAGATGTGTGTGCATAGATGTGTGTGTATAAGCATTCCTGTGGTGCACAACTGTGGCCATTTTTAAATATGGTTGCAGCTTCCTTCACATTCCGCCCATCAAGGGTCTGTGTCCTTCCCCTTGAATCTGGGTGGACTTGGGACTGCTTCGACTAAACGAGTGTGACAGAGGTGACACCTTGGGATTTCCAAGGCCAGTCCAGTGGGTATCTGCATTGTGTTTGTGTGTGTGACTTTTCATAGTACCTATGTGTCTGAGGATTGTCTGTATGTGCACATCCACGGAGGGACCGTGCTGGGGAGGTCAGCCCTGCCAAAGGGCTTGTCTTGGGTGGGCGGGGGGAGGTGGGGTTCACGTAGGCAGGGCTGTGCCAGAGAAGCCCATGGAAGCAGGACCCAAGGGCGGGGAGAGCTTATTCATGCAGGATCTCATGGAGAAGGAGGTACCAAAGGTGGTGGGCCTCCCCCGGGGGCCGAGCACCAGCTGCGCAAGGTGGTACCCCGATGCCAATAACGTGGGTTTGGCCAAATGGATTTGGTATCTCCACAGGATGGAAAATGGGGTTGCCCCCAAAAATGGCATCTTCAAGAAACAGGTAATTGTTTGGGAAAATTCTTTCCAAATAATGATAAATGTAAAAGGCAGTTCTTCGCAAAGAAAAGAGAAGCTGTCAGATGCGTATTCTGTCAACTCACAGCCACCAAATAGCTTGGCTTTAGGATCTGTGCCTGTCCCATACTGCCTTCCTTCCCTCTTGTCTGCGGCCATCCCTCTCCTCAAAAGAACCTCATTCCACCTGTCAATCCCCGTGGCCCTGATTGCAGCTGCCGTGTTTGGCCTGGTGTCACTGCTGGAGCAGATTAATAAAGCCTCGAGTACATAGTGTGTGGCCGTTGATTTGGTGAACACGTTCTTTTCTATTCCAATCAGAAAAAGGAATCTGAAACAGAACAACCAGTTATTTGTGGTTTGTAGTTTTACCCAAGGGCTATACCAACTTTCCCATCCTCTGTCCTGAAGTAGTCCAAGGAGATCTGGACTCCTTGCTTTCCAGATTGCACAAAACATCAGATTGATCTGTTACATCAATGACATCATGCTGATACGGATGAGCAAAAAATGGCAAGTTCACTGGAGGTTTGGGGAAGACACATACACACCAGAGGGGGTGTCCATATTTATAATTTGTGTAAACGGTATTGTGTAACATTACCATTCTCTTACTTATTTTTTTCAGTTGTCACTATGTTTTTAAGATCTGTCTGTGTTATCGGTACATATGATACTTTGCTTCATAATAAGTGAGGACCAACCCAGATGGCTACCAGCTCTCCTCCAGCAAACGTCCTTGTAGATTTCCCATTATGCACGTGTGGTGGAATTTCTTTGGGTCCTAGGGGGTGTGTGTGCTTAATTTGCATAAGTAGTTTGGGACCACTCTCCAAAAGGCTTTACCAATTTACACTCCCATCAGCCATGTGTGAAGGATCCTGTCTTCTTCATTTCTGCCATTAATTGGTATTATCCAGCTTTCTGGTTTTTTCCCAGTCTAAAGGTGTAAAGTGCTATCTCGTTCTGATTTGCATTTCTTTGACTACTAATGAGTTTGAGCATCACTTCATGTGCTTATTAGCTTTTGGGGTTTCCTTTCCTGTAAATTGCCTGTCACATCATTTGCCCATTTTTCTATTGGAGTTGATGTCCTCTTCTTGTTGCTTTACAGAGTTCCTTGTATATTCTAGACGTTAATCCCTTGTCAGTTTTAGACTTTGGGAAAAAGTCTCAGTCCTGTCGTCTGACTCTTAATTGGCCCGTGTTATTTTTTTATTATTAAACACTTCTTAATTTTGGTGTAATAAACTTGAACAAATTTGTGCGTTATGGTTTGTGCTTTTAAAGTTTTGTTAAATAAGCTTCCTTGCCTTTCTCGAAGCCCAAAGATATCCTCTCACCTTTGTTTCTATCAACCCTGTAATTTTTAATGTTCACGTTTAGATCTTTAATTCACCAGAGTCCCCCTTGTATAGGAGGCTGAACAGGGATCCAGATAATTTTCTGAGTATTTTGAGCTGATTTTCCCTGCTCTGTGTGCAGAACAGCCCATCCTTTTGCCATCGATTTGCAGCACGTCTGCCTTTATCCCTGTTAAGTTCCCGTGTATACACAGGCAGGTCTCTGAGTTCTCCGTTTTGTTCCACTGATATATATGTATATCTTTTAGGCCGACTTAGTTCTTCTTGTACTTTCCATTACTCCATATAAGTTTTAGAGTAGATACACCAAGGTTTTTTTTTAAAGAAAATCCACACATACACATATACACACATACCTATATACACATACAACTGTACTTATGGTTGGGATTATAGTGAATTTATGAATTAATCTGGGGAAAATTGACTTGGTTATAATATTGTCATCCTATCCAAGGGTTGTCAATTATTCAAGTTTTAAAGTTGAGTTCATAGAGGTCTTACATGTTTTAGTTTAATTCTCAGCTACCATATAATTTTTGTTGCTGTTGTGATGTATTTCATTTTGTATTACATTTTCTTACATTTCTTATTTCTTTTATTACATATTACATTGGGTACCTTGTTGGGTGTTTTGTTGGTATTGATGTAGAGAATGCTATTTATTTTTGTAGGTAAATCTTGTACCTGAGCCACTTTAGCTGAATACTCATATTAGTTCTAATAATTGATCTGTTATTTCTATTGGTACCCATCTAGATGGGTAATCATGTCTACAAATAATGACAGTTTTACGTCTTCCCTTCCAGACCTCACAATCTTTCTTCCTTACAGTATTAATTAGAATTTTCAATACTATGTTAAACAGTATCAGTTATTAGAGACATCCTTGTCTTTTTCCAGGACATGAAGATATATGTCTAAAATTTGTCTATTATGTATATTACTTGTTTGGGGATGTATAAACTTTATCAAATTAAGTAAATTTTTTTCTACTCAAGTTTTACAAGAGTCTTTTTTTTGGTGAGGAAGATTGGCCCTGAGCTAACATCTGTTGCCAGTCTTTCTCTTTTTGCTTGAGGAAGATTGTCCCTGAGCTAACATCTGTGCCACTCTTCCTCTATTTTGTATGTGGGATGCTGCCACAGTGTGGCTTGATGAGCAGTGTGTGGGTCTGTGCCTGGGATCCTAACCAGCGAACCCCGAGCTGCTAAAGCAGAGTGGACGAACTTAACCACTATACCACTGGGCCAACCCCAAAATAAGAGGTTTTTTAAATCATAAAAAGGTACTGAACCTTGTCAAATGCCTTTTGTGAATCAATTGAGATTATCATATGTTATTTTTCTCTTTATATTAATGTTGAATTAAATGGAAAAATTTTCTGATGTTGAACCATCCTTGCATTTCTTGAATATGATGTATTATTTTTAATACATTGTTGGAGTCACTTGACAGCTATTTTGTTTAGGATTTTTGCATCGTCTTATAAGTGAAATAGGCCTACAGTTTTCCTTTTTGCATAGTTCCTATCTGGCTTTGGAAGCAGGACTGTAATAGCCCCACAAAATTTGCTGGGCAGAATTCTCTATTTTTCTATTTTCTGGAACTACTTGAATAAAATAAAAAAATAAGTGTTATTTAGAAGTTTGGTAGAATTCAGATGTAGTGCTATCTAAAACAATCTGGACTTAGTTTTTTTGAGCAGGGGTGGGCGGGTGGAGGACAAAAAGGAGACATTTGACTACCAGTTCAATCTTTTTAATATTGTTCTGTTCAAGTTTATTTATTTGTCTGTTCAAGTTTGCTTCCTTTTGCACAAATTTTGGCATTTTATATTTTCCTGTATGTTTAGGTATTTCATATAGGTTCGTAAATTTGCTAGCATCTAGCTTTTTGTGATACTCTCTTATTATTATTAACTTCCATCTCTCTTTTTTAATTAGTCTTTTTTTTTAAGAATAAACTTTTGGTTTTCTTAATTTTCTCTACTTTTTTTCTTTACTATTTCATTGATTAGTGTCTTTATCTTTAATATTTCTTTCCTTATTCGGTTTCTGCTCTTATGTTCTTTTTCATTTTCTTATTTCTTGATAAATAAATATATTTATTTGATGCCATTAATTTCTTACTAACTATCATTCTTAGCTATGTCCATAGTTTTGACAAGTACTGTTTCCATTATCATTTGCTTCTAAATACTTCTTAAAAATCCCTTTAGTACTATATTATAGGTAATAAAGTTATACCTGTCTACCTGGGTTTGAATCCTTGCTGTACTACTCATTAGCTGTTTGACCTTGGGCAAGTCACTTAACCTCTCTGTGCCTCAGTTTTTTCATTTCTGTAACGGTAGCATTTAAGTGAGTATTAGCTCTTGTAAAGAGCACCACAGAACATGCCTGCATATAGCAAGTGCTACGTAAATGTTAGCTATTAACGTTTCCAAGCCTATGGGACACTTTAGCTCTCCTTTAATTGTTAATTTCTAGTGAGACAGTAATCTCAGACAGGAGGAACCTTCCCTTCCCTGCTTTCTCTGGAAAGACAGAAGGGAG